TTCTGTATCTGCTATGGAATGAATCTTACACTTTGTGAATAGCTTTTACTCTGGGAAAGTGCCAGGATGCAAGGGATAACTATGGAGGAATTGGTTCAACAAGGCTAAAGAATTGTCTGTCTCATACTCATTCTATGAATGTTCATTATTATGTGAAGGAAAACAATCTGTGTTCACTTCATGGCATGTGTCCACCTCAGTAATGGTGAAGGATTCCATATGTAAAGTAGGGAAGGCACCTAAGAGGCAGATGGCAGGATGATGTCTGGCAGAAGGCCCTACAGCTTAATGTGGACTTTCATTACATTCACAAAGAGTGACCTTTATTGGCCGTGCATCAGCGCACACATACAGTCCAGCTGGTTGTTTATTGCAGTAGCATGCCAATAAACATTTAAAGTCAGCAGCCCAGCTGACAGCCCTGTGGTACAGGGTTTTAAATCTTCTAATCTTGTAAAATAAAGGTTAATATTTGTAACAGATAGAAAAGAAGGCATGTGCAGAAAGTCCCCTCTGTTTCCAGCCAGTCTTGAACCTGAGGCTGATGTCCAGTGCCTTGTCCCTAGGCCACCTAGCCCTCTTATTTAATGTTAATAATTATTCCTACTACGTAGTGTTGTAATGTAATGTGCAAGTGATAAAATAATGAGTTTTGATCTTTATGTCAAAATTATATGTAAGTCTGGCCCATGTCCAATTTACAGTGTTATTTGATGATATACATCTCTGTATGTTTCACACTTTACATTAATGAATGAGTTAATTCTATAGAAGATTTGTTGTACTTTTAAAAAATATAAAATTCTTGGTTTGGATAAAATATAACATTTGTTTTATCAGACTTTGCTGCAACACAAAATATAGGACTGGTGTTGTGATCTTTACATGGAAGAACAAATAGCATGTTTTCAGGATTACTGAATTTACATAAGTCTGTATTTCAAGTACAGGATCATTACCGTTGTGCAAAAGTTAACTTTCCAGTCACCTATTCTGACACTGCCTACATTAATGATGGAGCAAATTTCCACATCAGCTATCATGAATAGAATTTTCCATACTGTATCATATTATGTTTAAACCCCTGTCATATGGGTTTATAGCCCTATTACATTGACAACACTTAACACATTCAATGCCATGCTACCCAGTTGGGATTTAAATGTTCTGTGCCAGCTATTGTTCAGTAGAGATGTGTTTAACATGACTAGAATAAACCTAAGTATCTTAAAAATTATTTGAAGTAATTGCATAAAATTATCAGACTAACTTATATAATGCTTTAGGATGTGATTTCTTGTATAACTTATTCACTGCACATAAACATTTTTCTTTTTCCATGCTTCACATGTTATATTTATATACACAAGGGACCCACATGTTTACAAAGGAAGAGGACGTTGTTTTGTGAGAGAATATTACTCTTAAATACATAAATGGATACATCAATGCTTCCTTCATCATCTGTACATGTTTGACTGCATTTGAGTGGTATTTCTAGGAGATATGAGCAAATACTTTACTTCAACACTAGAATGTCAACGGATGTGTTTGGTACTGGTAACGCAAGATAGCAAATAACGTTTTTGATGTTTTTAACAGTGAATGTATTAATTAATACTGTGTCCCTCTTCTTAGAACAGATTTTTCCAAAATTACCAATGATAAAAATATGAAATAAAAAGTTTCTTAAAAGTGAACAAGACATATATTATAGCATTGAAAAAGTGTTGTAGGTACACTGTGTTTATCCAAGCAACACAGTATAAACAAATAAAATTTCATGTATTTGTTTTACTTATATGGCTACCATGGACTCCATGTTGTTGTACCACACGAAGCTAATGTCCCCACAAATTTAATTTACTGTGATAATTCTTAAAGCATGGGGTAATACACAGATTAATATCACAGTAGCTGGTTAACTGCTGTAAGAGATGTGAAACATTCAGTGGACTCAAATCCTTTTTGATCCTGGGCTGTATCAGTTCTCAAGCCAGATAGCCTTCTAGTACATTAGTGGACTCAAATCCTTTCCTTCTTCAGTTTTATCTTCATTCTCACTGCACTCAGATTCAAAAACTTATCACATTTATCAGAATCACTATCTAACATCTGTTTAATTTCCTTTTTTATGTCAAACTGCATTTTGATGTCGCCGCATGCATGAGTGATCCAATTTAAAACTTTCACAGTAAAACAAGTTGTTTGTATTGAACAGATACCTAATCTTTATGTCATGTGAATCAGCAACCCATATACGATTACAGTCCCACAGGTTAGAGTGTCTGTTTTGAGAATCAACACTCGTAAAGTTGACACAAACAATGACCTGAGGGCGGTGACCAGACAAAACCGTACAAGACAAAACCTGAGGGCATGCTGTCATTTCCTGAGGATGAAGCAACCAAAACCTGAAGCTGACCACTCAACTCATCTAGTGCTAGGATTAAGAACTCATGGCATATATCTCCTCTTCCCTACATGTTGCTTAATGAAAAACACAGGGAAATTTTATCTTTAAATTTTAGCATGTTGCAGTGTGGTACATTTGGCAATTTAACTACACAAACTGCTTTCCTTACTAGGGTACACTAGGGTGATAAAGGTTAATACTGGAACAGTACCTTCATAAGCCAGTCCCAATGAAATTCACTTACTCATTCACAAAGTCCAGTATGTTGCCAAATTGACATGTGCTGAACAGCAAAACACATTGATGTATAGCTTGTGTAATGAAGTCTTCTCATGCAATCAGCCATATGAGAATACAGTTAATATCCAACATTTCAGAAACTGACACTGGCTCCATCATCAGGTGTTTATGTGACCGCATTGATGCCTGATACATTTTCACACAGCTGATTACCCAAAAATATTTCATTGCATTCATTGATCATAAAAGCTTCAACTCTTGTACAGCTCTAACTCAAATCTCTGGCAACATATCACATACTGAAATGTGATGCCATCAACTCTCTGCATAAATTTTAAGCACATAGAACACAGATTGGTATTAGGTAATGGTAGTAGAGTCACTACATGAAAGACTTCTTATAATATTACAGCAGTTTCCATGGCCTAGAGAGTTACTGATCTAAAGCACTTATGTATGGGGACCATCTGCCTCTGATCTAAATGTTTCCCTATCAAAAAAATACAAGACATTAATTATTTTTTCTCATTATTTAGAAATATCATATATAGAGTGTTATTGTATATACATTATAATATTTTTACATAAAACTATGAATCTCTTTTGAAATTTGTTTGAATAAATTTTACAGTGGAATTCATAACACTGATTGTTTTCCAGTCTCATAGATTGAACAAAAATGTAAGCAGAGGAGATACAAAATTGTACATATAACAAAGAACTTGATGGCAAGATTGCAGATCGACATCATAATTGTGAACGATATGTCAGATTTTCTCCATATTGTAACACCAGAATTTTCCTTGTATATTTATATAAAAGAATTATTGTAGATTTAAAAGGAGAGTAACAGAGGTTATCAGTAGAATAATGATGTTTATTACTAGGAATGGGATTGAAACCATAGGTTAGCTGCTGTCCAAATAATAGTTCACATACTAACATTGCAGATTGTAGCACAGTTCTGAAAGTATGACAAGAACTAGAAGTAAATGTTATGCAAGACTGATAAATCATGATGTTCCCAAGAATACTGACAGGGTTAAATGTTATCAGCAGTGATAGCTGGAGATGTCAGGTCTGAGAACATTCATCATTGAATTCACTGTTACATGTGCCTGTTGTATGCCTTTTGTTTGTTTGTTTGTTGTTTTTGTAATGTCCCCTCATAGCTGTCATTTATGGAAAATAATATTGCTTTTTAAAGAATGGACACAGCTATTGCAGTACTTACGTCCATATTTTAAATACTTCAAAGTAACTTATTTAGTCACTGTAAAATACTTTGCTATATTATGTGTGGGCATGCTCATACTAATATAAAGCATACATGCAGGACTTTCAGCTTGACAACAAAAACAATTAAATACACATATAATTAATTTTGTGTTCTACACAGTATGTGATTTGCTTCTTTTGCTGTCTTCCTTCTTCAGTGTTTCCAAAACCTTAAATTAAGCTGTAACTGCTTTTTCTTCCATTTTTCTGGAACTAACTTACAAGCATTCAGTACTTTTGCTGTAAGGCTTATGAAGCCAGTATTGATGTTACATTATCAGGATTTCTATAAGGCTTAGAAATGAAGCATGAGACTTAAAATAACACACTGAGAGCACTCCCCTTGTCACCATCTTAATAAGCATTACATTTCAGTATGGAACATATCCCACTCACTTTTAGGAAATATTAATTTAATGTCATAGAAAATCGTAGGTGACAGCTGGTTGCACTGTAGCTTAAATTCCCACATGGTGAGAGATAACCTAATCAGCATAAATCAGTTCTTTTCTGTATACTGGTAGTTTATGGTTTATCTCATGGTGTTCATAAGCTAGCATAACGTATTTTGTAAGTAAAGTGTTCCAAGTGGTCTTTTATTTTATTTATATTTGACTGTGTTAAAAGTGCAAATCCAAGGACAAGACATCAAGTATCACACAGAAAATCCAGACACTTGTTCTAAAGAGCTCTGATGGCACATTACAATTAGTTTTATCAGATTTGTGGACTTTGCTTATCATTCTATATTCCAAACAGAACGCAATGTTTCATATTCAGCTGGGTCCATTATAAAGTGCTATTCCAGCCCAGTGATTACATGATATAATTAATATGTTGATGAAAATATAGTTTACTGTGAAACATAACACCAAGATATTGTACATAAGTATTCACAAAATTAAAAAATCGCCAGTAAAGTAACTGAAGTAGATACAATTAGTTTTATAAACAAAAGAATAACATTAGTTTTCTGATTATTAAGTAATGTAATTTTCAATACATCTCTTTTTACTGCACATGTCAGATTACAGACTTTAATAACAACAGTAATATAGCATAAATATATGTCTGTTCATGTTCTAACCCTCTTTGGAAATTATTGTAACATGTGCAGAAAGGGGGAATTCAGGCACATCAGTTAATACTCATTACATTATTATATAGAATGATAGCAATGTAAACTTAATCTGTGTATGATTTGAGGTTTTCACAGCAGTGAGTGTGAAGATTTCTGTCTTCTGGGTTGTTGTGCTGTGTAGTCTGGTAGATGTTTACCAGCGTTTCAGAGGTCATACTGCCTCCGTCATCAGGGCAGGCAGTATGACCTGGTAAACATCTACCAGACTACACAGCGCAACAACCCAGAAGACAGAAATCTTTAAACTTAATCTGTTCAGATTTGTTAGTGTATCAGAAGTGGAACATGTGCTGAAATACAATAAATGTATGGTATTCACCTGTTGGTAGAACATATGAACTAGACCCCAACTGAATTTAAAGAGAAGGGAAAGAAATGGAATTATGAAGATTTCCGTCTTCTGGGTTGTTGCGCTGTGTAGTCTGGTAGATGTTTACCAGCGTTTCAGAGGTCATACTGCCTCCGTCATCATCACCCTGATGACGGAGGCAGTATGACCTCTGAATCGTTGGTAAACATCTGCCAGACTACACAGCGCAACAACCCAGAAGACGGAAATCTTCATACGCACCGCTGTGAGAACCTCAAGTCTTACAAATGGAATTATGTTGGTCAACTGCTCAACATTTGTTTAATAGATATTTTATTGACACATGAGCAAAATCCATTTATATCAGTGACATAAAGTTATTTCTCACAAAAACTGAACACAAACAGTGAAAAATATTTGTGAAACATCTTGTACAGATGCCAGTAAACTTAACATTCATATGCCCTTAACATAAACTAATATGTGATGAGAACAAATTACTTTGGACAGTTATTATTAATTTTAGATATTCTGTACTGGTCTGTACTTGAAATCTGTTGAACAGGATTACAACCTCAACCAACCAGCTATGGTAATACTCCAGTAATTTAATTTATTAGTGGTAACTTGTATTCAGTGTGGGTTCAGATATAACAGATCAACAGTTGATCAGATTTTTTGAATTTGTCAGATACTAGAGAAAAAATGGGAGTACAGTGGGACTGTACATCAATTATTTATAGATTTCAAAAAGCCTATGACTGTGAAGAGAGAAGTGCTATACAACATTTTTATTGAATTTGGTATACCAAAGAAGCTAGTGAGACTAATAAAAATGTGCTTAAATGAAACCTGTAGCAAAATTCGTATAGGTAAATATTTATCTGAGTCATTTTCCATCAAGAATGGTCTGAAACAAGGAGATGCTTTATCTCCATTCCTCTTTAACTTTGTGCTAGGATATGCCATCAGGAAAGTCCAAGATAGGTAGGAGGGTTTGGAATTGAATGGGACACATCAGCGATTGGCATATGCTGAAGATGTTAATTTATTGGGTGACGATATAAATACAATACAGAGGAACACAGAAGTTTTACCAGAGGCTAGTAGACAGGTGAGGCTAGAAGTAAATTCAGTAAAAACTAAGTACATGTTGGTATCTCATCAGCAGACAGGTGGGCAAAATCATATTAGGGTGGCTAATAAATCCTATGAAAGTGTGACAAAGTTCAAATATTTTGTAACAATAACGAATCAAAATGATACTCATGAGGAAGTTAGGAGGAGACTAAATTCCAGAAATGCTTGCTACTTCTCAGTTTAAAATATTTTGTCTTCCTGTCCAATTTCTAAGAACCTGAAGATTGAAGTATACAAAATAATAATTCTGCCTATTGTTTTGTATGGGTGCGAAACATGGTCTCTCTCTCTGAGAGAGGAACATAGATTGCAGGTGTTTGAGAATGGGGTGTTGAGGAGGATATTTGGGTATAGAAGAGAAGACGATGGAGAATGGAGAAAACTGCATAATGATGAATTGAAAAATTTGTACTTCTCCCCCAGTATTGTCAGGGTGATTAAGTCAAGAAGAGTGAGATGGGCGGAGCATGTGGCACACATGGATGGGGCAAGAGGTGTGCACCGGGTATTGGTTGGGAAATCTGAGGGAAGAGACTGCTGGGAAGACCTAAACATAGATGGGAGGATAATCTCAGGTGGGATCTATGGGAGATAGGAGTTGAAGGAGACTGGATTTTGTTGGCCCAAGACAGGGTCCGGTAGAGGGCATTGGTGAATTCGGTGATGAACCTTCGGGTTCTGTAAGCCATCTAGTTAGTTAGTGGTAGCTCGTATGTACAACTGTTTTCTTATGCACATTTCCCAGGGAAATTTAGTAATATGGCATTCTTGCAATGGCCATCTCTTACTATATCACTCTGTGTTCTTAAGAAAATACAGGTACTGCAGAACTGAACTGGATTTTTCTAGATCATAATAGGGTATAAAGGTAATATTTGCATGATTCATGTGAACCTTCAGGTTTCATAACAATAAAGGGCTTCCTAAAGTAAAGATGCCCCTGGTACATGGCATGAAGGTAAAAGTAAAGTAAAGTTTGTCTCGTTATGTGCCGTAAAGGCGCTTGAGGTGAGTGGAGGTATAGCTCCTCTCTTTCTTGACCTCGGCACTAGATGGGGGTGAGTGGTTGGCATCACGCCCCGGCCGGCTTTTCCCGGGAAAGGACCCCGGTGCCCATTGTAGAGGAGGCTGGGTGGGCCCCAGAACATGGCATGAAGGTACTTAGGTTAAATAGGGAAGGTATAGTTCTTACTCATTCTTCTCCTCTGCTAGATGATAGTGAGTGATCAGTGACATGCCAAAAAATGTGAACATATGAATAATTTTCGATGCTCAATGTTGTTCATTACCCCAGCTATGTAAAATTTGTTAGAGTACATAATGATGAGGGTGGTATAAGAAGAGGTCCTAATTAACTAATTTGCTTCATGGAGCATAGTCCTCCTTAAAAAGCTAACAGTAACAAAGCTAGTCAAAAAATTCCCCTTCTTTTCTGGAACATGAAGGTTCATGACCACATTCACAAGAGCCCATGGCATGGTGTGTCCTCAAGTTGTGGATGGGGGAGACAGCCTCAAAGGTTTGAAGTTCATATAGCTATGCCAGTTATTATGTGAGCAGTGCATTTGTACTTAAATTTAGAGCAATGGTTAACTATTGTAGTCACACCACAAATTTTTACATAAAAGAAAACTCGCTCAGTGCGTACCAGCATTTCTCAAATTGTTTATGGAATTGGATCATTTACGTAGATACAATTCCTTTTCTCTCTCATTCCATAAAGCCAGATAATACATCTGTATCTTTAATAGTGTTGAAACTCCTGCAATAATAAAACATCATTTTCTCATTATGGCTGAGCTTAAAATAGACATCCATTTTGAAATAATATGTTAAAGAAAAAAATAACCTATTTTTCATCACATATTTTACATGTCATAATCCCATAAACATTTTTCAGTTTACTAGTCATTGTTAATCCAAGTTTGCATATACCTGTGTTCATGAATGTGACTTAGAAAAGTAATTCATTTTATTGGTCGCAAATATATACTTTCAATTTATTATTTAAAGTATTAGGTGTTCTTCATGCTGTAGCATCAGTCCTTAACTTCTCTGTTTGTCACATTTCTCCTAGGAGGAAGGCAACCCACATGACTAGGGCCATCTTTGCACAACAATGGGAACCCAGTGTTGTGAAACAATTTGAACTGAGGTCATTGTTAGAACACATTATTCTGCAACAATAACCTCAGGTCACAGGTTAACAGTGGTTTAAGGACTGTTGGAACATATGAGCTGTTGCTGAACAGTGACCTGCTTGATGTGCCATGAAGAACACCTGTGGAATATCAGTGTATTTCAAGTACACCTTTCCAATCTTGTTTCCCTGCATCTTGCCCAACTAAGCAACATAATTCAGGAACTAATTGAGGAACTATTTATGGAGCAGGTAAATGAGCATGACCAAAACAAGAATAAAGCAGCTTCTCCTTCAGTAATACTTCATACTGTTTATAGGACATTTTACAGTGCATAGTCTTGTTAATAGTTTACATATATGTTGATCAATTTTCTTTTTATACAGCTGGGAACTCAACCAACAGCAGCCAGGTTTAGCAGCTGCCATATTCAAAGACAGGTCACATGAATAAGCATTCATTAACACAACACAAACATATTATATGCTGTCAATGAAAAGTAGGAACACCACCAGGGGCAATTGTGAGCATAGAATTTAAATTATATTATCTTACAAAATGTAGGCAAAAAGATATTTTCCTTACATTGTACTTACATTGCATTTTCTCTCAAAAATGTTAATTTGGGCCACTGCCATCCCAAATCTTTTCCTAAGATGTTTTAACTTCATATAGGTAGTGTGACTACTGCACAATACCGGGGTGGGGTTTAGCCCCACGCCAAACGCCCAAACTAGAGGAACAAGGCATCGCCTTAGACCGGTCGGGTTTGAGTGACCCTACCAGGAGCCTAAGCTCCGGCCGGCAGAATAACTAAAATAATAGAGCCCCCCGCGACATTCCCATGCAGGCACTTGGGGTCAGCGGGGGTCAAGCTCCTAATCTTTCTTGACATCGGAATCAGATGGTGGTGAGTGGTAGCATCACGCTCCGGCCGTGAATTACCCCCGGGTTAGGATCTCGGACCCATTGTAGAGGAGGCTGGGTGGGTCCCAGAGCCGGTCTGGATGCAGAGGCTAGAGGAAAAATCCTCTGCCCCCGTCGGGGATCGAACCCCGGTCGTCCAGCCCGTAGCTAGTCACTATACTGACTGAGCTATCCCGGCTCATACAAGTAGATAAGCAGTTGCGTAACCATAGCAATAGTTGGTTATACTGCAAACTATATGATGAGAACATCTCTCGGTATCAGATAATGCTCAAGTATGATGATCATTTATATTACATTCAATCAGTTAATAATTTACATGGCATGTTTTGGTTTTTTATATATTTAAGTAAGGTACATCAGTGATGGCAATATAATGTAGTTTAAAAATGGTGTTGATATTTTCTGTTGTGTGAACAATTATTTTAATATTTATACAAATTTTGTTCTTGAATAACTTATATTAGAGCACATCATAAATTTATTTACTAATTGAAGGCAGTAACATAATATAGCCCAGGTTCATACTTGTAAGCTTTGAAAATTTGCTACATTTGAGACCAGATGAACTAATATTAAAAGTTGCAGCAATCTATCATTATTTGAAAAAAAATATGGTGTAGTTCTTGCTATGCAAATAAGTCTGAATCTGTGCTTGTGCCATGTCCAGTGCTTTGTAATGTATCCTGATATGTATAAAAATCTGCTTACATCACCACCATAAAACAGAGAATAATGTAATGTGATATTGTGATGACCTATATGAAGCATAACTCATACATAGCAATTGAGATTAAACTTCCCAATTTTTCTTTATTAATTTATGTTTTATGAGGCCTGTGGTGTATTTCTTTTATTCATTAGGAGAGAAGAATTAAGTTTAAAATATTGAAATTTTGTAGCTTGTGTGTAAATCTTACTAAATTGTTCACCAGTTGGGACTAATCAGAAAAATGATGTAACATGTAGGAATGATTTTCATCAAGACATAATTTGTATTAGGGGCTATAAATTTATTTCCAATGAATGCACATTCACAAATATAATTAATAAAATGTATAGTTTTATTTATGAAAAAGAAAGTTGGAGCTCTCCAGAATAAAAGAATAGCATTATGTGAAAGTAACTAAGAGAAAATATTTTGTTGATAATCAATAAGGTTAGGTGACAATCTGCAAGGAGTCTTGGAGGCAGTCTAAAATTAATTGAGAGACTTGTGTATGTGTGAGTATATATTTCTGGTAATAAATTATTTTGTTAAATGTTAATAATTATTTCTAATACCAGTACATAATTTCATCTGTATTTGCCATAATAGTTATATTTGTTTATAACAATGTGTTTGGTTCATATTTAATAACCATGTGGTTATAATTGGAATTATAAGCTATAGATCTGTAGAAAGCACGTTCTTTTAATACTGATAGTATATTATAGTGGTTGGGTGTGACTCTTTCAAGAGATGGCTACTTGCAGACATTAGGTACCAGCAGAATATAAGCCAGCAATGAGACTGCCTCTTTTCAGGTTATAAAAATTAATAACATAACCAACTTCCATTAAGCACTAATTAAAATAAATGTTCATAGAGCACTTCAGATTTACATCCCATTTTAATGAAGAATCCTATGAAACACATTAAAACTAAACAAAGTTTCAACTTATGTTATATGAGTAGTCCCATTTTAGTGCTTTGTCATGTATTTGTATAAAGTAGTGATAATTTTAGAACTGTTTTATTTTCTTCAGAATTATGGCCATTGTTTTTAAATAAAGTTTTATTTGAAGTAGGATTTGAGGTTCTCACAGCAGTGAGGATGAAGATAGCTGTATTGTGGGTTTTAGTACCAAATAGTCTGGTAGAAGTTTACCGATGTTTTAGAGGTCCTTACTACCCCATCAAGAGGTAAACTTGGTAAACTTCTGCTAAACTACATGGCGATACAACCCAGAATACAGACATTGGCATTACCTAAATTGTGTTTCATATCCTTTAAAATTCACATGATACTGAGTTGTAAATGAATACCATTTCTTATTTTATAATTAGTTTAAATACTGTCCACACATTTATTTCCAAACTGGTAATGTGTTTCCAAAAACTGAAACTCTAAAATAAAAATGTAATTTATTAAACATGTTTTTGGCATACAATTTGAGTTAGTATATCAGAACAGCAAAATAAATATAAAATGCAGTTGCAATCTTGTCTATATCTGTATTGTTTCTGTCTGCAAGATGCCAGCTGTATTATTGGAGACAGATGTTGAGTTTTTTAAAAGAGATGAATTTGTTTGCAAGCATGATATTTTGTTTTTGCCTCACAAACTTACCACATTGCTAAATTAATAGAGTGAAAGAAATGATTTTACAAGAATATGAAAAATCCTGTTAATAACTCAGCACCCTTATCCACCCTTATCTAATGTTTTTGGAACAGAAATTCTTTCTTTGAAGACATTTCAAAACAAGTTTTACTTGTTTGAAAATATCTTCTATGGCTGTTAGTACTACATTGTGGGATATAATATGTATATGCCACACACACATATATATATATGTGTGTGTGTGTGTGTGTGTTATGACAAGATTGTAACTATTGTCAATGAATGTTGAAGCTTCTAGCGCTATTACAAGGAATGACATAATATACTGTATTATGTGTTCGTTCCTGAAGAAATGTATGTGTGAAAATCGAAGTGTAAAACTCCATGCCACTAAGTGGAGTGCACAATGTTAAAAATGACGTAAAAATGTATTTGTTATGCAATTTTTATGGGGTAAACTGTTATTTTGTAATAAAATAAAAAGTAAATTTAATTTGTTCTTAATTATTTTCTAAACATACTAGTGATTTTATAAGCATTATTATTTATCAAAGTATGCCTTATTTTAGGTTACTGTGTTCTCAAAATTCCATTATTGGACATTGTTATGAGCCATATGAATCCAGTCAGCGACCTTACATCCTATTTCTGTAATTTTAATATTATACTCCCAAATTCTCTGTTCCAGTGTTCTACAACCATAAATATGTATCTAAATAAATATAACACATTTTCAATAAAACTTGATCAACCACAGAGAGAGAGAGAGAGAGAGAGAGAGAGTGTGTGCGCGTGCGCGCAGGAGTATATTATGAATTACAATACATACATAATTTATTACATTCCATGGATCCATAAGACAGCCAAATGACAATAGGATGTGGAAAAAGTCATATTAATAATACAATACATATTATAAAGTACAATTCATACTATTATATAAACTTTACATAATACAAACAAAGGGTTCACCTAAAGAAATGATAAGTTACAAACAGATCTACCCAAAACACACAGAAGAAAATTTATCACTTATTTGTAAACAACAATAATGGTTTAAGTCATTACCTTTTTCCAACTGTAATGTGAGAAAATACAGTTTCTTATACAAATTTGCGACACATCTGAAACCTTGTGGTGGCACAACGACTGCAGAATATTAGTCTGTTTCTGCAAGTTTTTTGGCATACATTTCTCATGTTTCCCATGCATGTCACCTATTTCACTTTCCTTTATTCATATACTGATGGCTATCATTTTAGATGTTGCACTCTGCATTCTGGTAGACGTTGACTATTGTTTCAGAGGAAATTACTGCCTCAATCATCAGGGTGGTAAGTTATGGAGACAGCAAGTTCCTTTGAAGTATTGGTCAGTATCTTTCAGACTGCACAGTGCAACATTCCAAAAGACAGCCATCTTCAAACTCATGGCTGTGAAAGCCTCAGATATCATCATTAATATTCCCATAGAATGTGGACTATTCTAATCCCAGTTTCTGAATATTAGCTTCAAAGGCAGTAGACATTAATATGTTCTCCCACCGGCAGATTACACTACTGTTATCCAAGTAACGCAAATTACCCACGTGACCACGGATTACCTATATACCATGGAAAGTTATTAGTGGCAGCAGAATCCTACTTTTGATCTGTGGCAACAGAGACAAATAGTTTGTAAATTTAGATTACGTATCAAGGGAAGTGCCAACATTTTGTCATTGAAATTGAACTAGCAAATAAAAATCCCATGAAATTAAAGCATATCAGAATCCAATCACAAATTATCCACAGGCCTTGTAAGTTTTGCACTGTAGAGTGCATTTATGAAATGTGTAGCGAATTAATTGCATTTATTTTTAATCGTGTATTTTAGCGTCAACATATTGGGAATTCATATTGGTAAAAAATGGCTGGCTTTGTTAGGTTATGTGGTTATGTTCTGAATAAGCAATCTATAAGAGATGTTGTGTGCTTTGAAAATGCGTTCATTAGGCACACAGTTTTAAAAAGGATTGACCATGATGTTAAATATTTAAAGACAGAAGCAGTTGATACTACTCTTATCGATGAAGCTAGCACTGTAACAGACGAAGACGAGGGTGAGGTTATGGCTAAGAAAGAGGAAGAGATACAAAGGAAAAGAAACAAGTCTCGATTGAATCCACAGCACAGGAATTTACTACACGGAAAAATGCCCTATTCTGAGCCCATGGATTGGTTTCATGAAACCGTGAAATATAAGCGTAAGATGTATGGGCGCTATGGTCAGTCAAGTGGAATTATTCCAGGTGTAATGTGGCCCACTAGGGAGGAAATAGAGGAAACGAAAGAATATGAGAGCATAGCATATCCGTACACTATTCAAGAACAAATGAGCAAAGTGGAAGAGAAAAAGAAGGAAGACCTAGCGTTATTAAAGGCAAGGTATGTATGTTATTGCCATGGAGGCATTGTTTTATTATGCTGGTAAAACTTTGCGCAAGACTTACACAGATGCAACTTTACTGCTGACGCATGTGTAAGTAGGAGTAAGGATCACCTGATGAAACAGCTGTATGAGGTACATCATGCTCAGGTGAACATTTTCAATGGGTATGATTAGAATAATGGCATCTATTAAAGTCTCTTGTAGAGAACTGTTTAAGAAATTTAGTATATTTCTCCTTGCTAGTGAATTGTTACTATCATTGCTGTCCTTCATTATGGACAACATGAAGAAATTTTAAATTCTTACATACATGTCATAAATATGACCACCATATCCAGAATGCTAACCTCACTAGTTGTAAGAAAGGTTCTTACTATACAAAAATCTAATTATTCAACAATCTTCCAGCTAGTATTCAAAGCTTAAATTGTGATATAAAAATATTTAAGCCAGCATTGAAAAATAGGTTTAATTTGACTCCTTTTACTCTGACAAATGTACATTCATTGAAAATTCTTAAACATTTAAATGCATAACTGTAAAAATTGTGTTATATTTGTATTGGTATTTCATTTGTACTAAATGTTGGTATTCGTGTTATGACATGTTCCATATCCTTGGCTTGTACTATGGATCTAGGGAATGTAAATAAATTATGTTGTATTTAAATTTGTGGTGCTCACTTTAGTTGCCCAAAATTCACTAGTACTAAGACAATCCTACAAAAGTATCTTATGACAACTTAGTTTTAGCAAAACTTCAGACTTAAGTGACTGTGCAGTAAATTTACAACTATGATCTATATAACCAGATATATCACTTAGGTAATTTAAAAACTTGTGGAGAAGTTTGCTCCCGACAATGTCTTCTTCACTGTTCTGTCATTCTTCTTCCTTCCCCTATCCCCATCCCCAAGAGAAAAGGAAAAATTGATAAATTTTTGCTAGAGTTATTATTTTAGTGCCAAAAATAATGTCATTCAATTTTAAACTCATCATATTCTAAAGTTCATATGATATTGTAAATTTTCAGGGAAGAAGATGTCTTGAAGAAGTTTGCTAAACTGGAACAGTGGAAACTTGATGTTAAGGCTAATGCTGCCAAAAAGTTAGCAACTGTAGAAGCTGCTAAGGTAGGTACAGAAATAAGATATTTTCCTAAATATAGTGTCAGACCCATATTTGGCATCCCAGAATCCAGGTGGACCTGAAATATGTATTTTTCCCAGTGACATTTTACAGTAGCATTTTCCTACATTTGTCATATTTAAAGCAGGTGCTTCACAGTTTTTTGTCTCACTGCTATGTGTGAATGGTTCCACTGTCAATTGTCTTCTTACTGCTAGTAAGGCACCTTGCTTATTTGCACATATTTAGTCAGTGGATGGCATAGGTTATGGGCTTCCATGCATTGTTTAAGTGATGAAGGTGATACCACGACAGATTTTAGAGGTTTTTATGTTTCTCACAAAAAGAAGTTGTGAATTGTAAAGCATATATCAACAAAAATTGTTTTTGTTTATTGTATCTGTATTAAAATTTCTGTGCATGAAAATCCAAAGTCCATTAAATTCTAACATCAGAAAAGCCTTAGGTCCTAGGCTTTATGGATAGGGGGCCCAGTACTGTATGTTGAGAAATGAATTACACAATTTGTACTATTAATTTAATAGTTCACTCTCATCTATCTGTGGTAATAGGAAACAAGTGGAAGCACAAATAGTCTATATATATGGATAATCCAACATTATTACATTTTAAATTCATATACATGTGATGTCACAAACTATATCTGTGAATGAATTAGTAATATGACACATTTCAGGTTTAAATAGTAACCAACATAATTGCAATGCTGATCTTTCTTTTTGTTTTGTTAAATAGTTACCCAATTAAAACTTAAAATAAGTGTTCTGGTAGAAAATAATTAGAACTACATTTTGTGCCATATATACTCTTTTTTTAATGAGCCATTTGTCAGTTTTTTTGATTTGAGCTTCGTGTAAAGTAGGGCTTATATTTGTCTTATGTGAACAAAAATTAAATTAAGAGTTTTGGTATAGATGTCAGTACCAAATGTTATAAGAATTTTAGAGATTAAATTTGCAGATGGACATACAATATACATTGTGCATTAAGGTTATGCACCATAAGTATTGCCATATACTTTACAATTTTCTTTTATAGGCAAAGAAAGATAGGTTGGTGGAGGAGGTGCGTCGTCACTTTGGCTTCAAAATTGACCCTCGAGATGACCGATTTAAGGAGTTACTAGAACAAAAGGAAAAAGAAGAACGTAAGAAGGCCAAGGAAGCTAAGAAGAAAGCGAGGCAAGAACTTGTAACAGCCAGACTGGAGGAGCAAATTAAAATAGCTGAGAAAGACAGAAAAGAGGCCAGTAATATTCCAGAGAAATCATGAGTTACACACTTTTGTATGGTTTCTTTTGTAAGCAGGTATGAAATTTGTACATGTAGTACTCATTCAAAGAGCCATTTTATTCTAATGACTGTGAACAAAACGTAGTATATGTTATAATTCATCTTCCTGTTTTTTTAACACAGAACTGAAACTGAATTTTGGTAAGCACCAGAAGAAAGCAAGAAACAAAGCGTGGCTGAATATTTGTGTACCTCCGTATAAATAATGAAACTATTTGACATAACCATTGACTGTGTGTATTGTGAAACATTCCATAGATAATTTATATTAGAGGAGATTTGAGGTTCTTATGGAGATGAGTATGAAGATGGCTGTCATCTAGGATGTTGCACTATGTGGTCTGACAGATACTGATCCCTGATACATCCCTGATGCTGGACACATTGAGATCCTCTGAAACATTTGTATCTACCAGACTACAGGGTATAACATTCCAGAAGACACCAACCTTCATATTAGAGGACTTCAGAAAGATGTTGCTGTCGTGCGCATTTCATTATGAGAAAATTCATAATGAATCATAAAATGTTATGTTTATACTATGCATACTCAAACTCTTCCCATGACTTGTGGCTTCTTAATGCAATGGTTTCCAGTGCATAATCAAGAACATGTACTCTCTTTTCAACAGGACTGTTCCTCCTGTGGTTTATTGTGGTCATATGTTTTTGCTTTTTCATTAAGTGTATTGTTGCCTATGTTGGCAGTATAGTTACATTGATGAACCACTCTCCTGTGCTGTCATTGATATATTTTTGTATGTTTCGTATAATTTCATTTCCCACATGCTGCTTCCTGCTTAATCATTCAGAGTAACAAGTAGTTGGTGTACATGGTGTCCATAAAGTCATGGTGGGGTTTTGAATTTTTATTTGCAATTTATAACTGCACATGTTAGTTCTGTTTTCTTCATGGAACCAACTGCGACATAATGTAGTTATCCATACATGTTGGAATACTTTGTGCTACCCCAAGTTGAAGACAGGAATCTTTCAACAGGATGTGCACTATTACATTATGTAACCATCAATTCATGGGTGTCTTGAGACATTTTCCAGGGAGGTGTACTACGAGAGGTCGGAAGTCTTACCTCATTCCCCAGAGCTTACATCACTTAACTTACCTTTGGGGTTACATCAGATAAGTGTGGTATGCAGTGTCATCAGTGATTTGAAGCACCTGAAGAGATGTTACTGAATGAGTCTTTGTAGATGTTTTAGCTCAGGTATAGCAAGAATTTGAGGATCACTTGAATGCATATAGAGCAATGAACAGTGTACCTTATAATTTTGAAAGAGGCAGTTATTTTAGGTATTTTGAAACAAGCTCACTTTTACATTAGATCATTTGGGAAACCTTTGAAATATGTCTCCATCATTTAATGGGTGAGGGGGTTATCAGCATAACTTGGAAGACCATCATTCATATTCTGAAGAAATTGACATGACACCTCAACTCTACTCACCAAGCAGGTTCTAGTTCAGCACCTGATACATTTATCCCCCCTCTTTAGATTTCATTCAGTCCTTACTAGGACTATTTATCTTTATATTCTTTATAATCCCCTTTGTCCTATACCAATTTCCTCCAGCATGCAGCTTACATACATGAAGGTTTATGTTTCCTGCCTTCTCATTGGCCATCAGAGTTGTTGAATCAAATTGAGCAGTTCCTATCCATCAGTGGATCTGTACCCTGAATACCAGTAGGGACCATTGGGCAGTCACTTCACCTCGAAGATTGAGACAGTAAGGAACTCTGAAATATTGGCAGTACAGCCTACATGTACATGGTTCATCTGCATTTACCCAGAAACAGGATTAGTATTAGAATACTAACTCCATGGTGCAGAATCCTTCTTGATAACATGGTAGTTGCTTGGATAGTTAAGAAATTACATACCTTTCATGGAACCTCAAGGTTAATTAGTGTGTTCACAAGAGCCTTGTAAAATGCTCAAGTCCTGTGTGATATTTTGTAACATGCTACCAGTAATAGGAACTTGATAACTCTGAAAGCCACCCATCAGATGTAAATCATAACCTGTACAGAGTATTTGTGTTAAGATTGGGAACATACTTCGGGATAGATTCCAGTTGCAAGTAAATAGTCAGCATGGTAATGCTCAAAAACTGGAACAGCTGTGATCATGGTTCCAGAACCAGAAAATTTAATCTTCATACATGATAGGGTGACGCCACGGTGGTCTAGCGGTTAGAATGCTGACCTTGTAATACTGGGGTCTCGGGTTCGATTCCCGGCGGTGCCGGAATTTATAACTTGTGTTGGGCATCCCAACAATTACTCCATTCACACACAGAAGAAGGCAATGGCAAACCACTTCTGGATCATCTGCCAAGAACGTATATGAACAGGTCCCAGTCCGAGAAAAGGATGGAAGGATCCTGCTCAT